GTCCTGGAATACCTGACATTAAGTGTTCACAGAAGGGTTTTGACAGGGCTGAGAGGCAGTGGGTGCACTGGGGCCTCAGAGGACAGGGCAGAGTATGGCATTCTCATCAGAGGCTACCACTTGGCCTCTGGTAACTGCCCACACTCTCACAACCAGACACCCCTGGTAATGCCCTGCAGTGTGCTGGGCTCCAGCCAGGAGGGGCAAGGCCCCTGGCTCTCAGCACTCAGTCTCATGGCAGTTCCATCCAGGCCTCCCTTCAGGTCCCAACTTGCCTTCCTTTCCTACCTGGGGCTGTCACTGCTGCACCAAGCTTCTCTTCTGCACCCACACCCTCTCCCTTGGTTTTTCCAGCCCCAGGGCATTGCACTTCTGCTCAGGCGCGGGGGACACCCTGCCCTCGAATTTCCAGTGGTGAACTCCTCTTCATCCTTCAAACCCCACGGGTCACCTCCAACTGTTCATGGGCCCCATGGCAGTACATACAGGCCTTTATTTTGGACCAGTCTTTCTTCTACTGGTCTGGCTGTCTCCCTGACTACCTGGGTTTTTCTTAAAGACAGAGACTTTGTCTAGCCACCCTCACTTTACTGGCACCCAGCACAGGCCCGGCAGTGGGAGGTTCCACTGGAGGGTTCAGGAAGGCCAGAGTGGATAGAGGACATGACCAGGGCTCTCCACCCCTGGCCACATGTGAGAATCCCGAGGAGCTTTTTAAAATAGCAGACACCTGGCCACACCTGAGACCAGTGAAATCCTAACCTCTGGGGGTGGGGTCCAGGCATCAGCAGATTCTGAAAGCCTGGGACTCTGCAGCGGAGCCTGGGGAGAGCGTGCGGATTCTGCTGTGCCCATCCGGAGGCCAGGGCTGACCCTGCATGCCCACACAAGGGCTGACGCCCCTGTCATTGCACAAGCAGCTGTGCTCCATGGCCCAAGATCCTAGGGACACTGGCCCAATGGGATCCCTGGTCTTTTTAAAAAAAAAAAAAAAAAAAAAAAACCCCGCTTTACTGAGATACAATTCTCATGCCGTACAATCCATCCTCTTAGAGTGTACAAGTCCATGGTTTTAAGGGTATTCACAGTTGTGCAACCATCACCACAATCAATTTTGAAACTTCTCAGCACCCGTCAAAGAAACCCTGGGCCCACTAGTAGTCACTCCTCATTCCCTCTCTCCCAGCCCCTGACAGCCACTCCTCTGCTTTCTGTCTCTATGGATTTCCCGTTCTAGACATTGCATACATCTGGAAGCATACACGCTGTCGTCTTTTGTGTCCAGCGTCTTTCACTCAGGATAATGTCTTCAAGTTCATCCATGTTGCAGCATGTGTCAGTACTTCATTCCTTTTTATGGCTGAATAATATTCCATTGTATGGAAAGACAACCATGTGTTTACCCATTCATCCATTGATGGACATTTGAGTTGTTTCACCTTTTGGTTATTATGAATAATGCTGTTATTGACATTCGTGGACAAGTTTGTGTGTGTGTGTTTCTGGTGTTACTGTTCCCCCAGCCTCGTGGGGAGGTCCCATCCCTCTTTGAAGTCCACCATCTTTGGGGTTGTCCCTGACAGAGCCCAGGTCTCTGGCCAAGAGAGGAGGGTCTGGACTGATGGAGGGGCTTGTGCTCTGGGTCCTCTACCTCTGTGTCCCGTTGCTCTGCATCCTCATGGGGCTGGCTCTGGCCAGGCCAATCAGCAGGAGCAGTGGATGCTGGCTCGGCCCTCATCAGTTGCACAGTTTGTAGCTGATTTACCACTAAAGGGGTTCACAGGGGTCTTGCTCTGGGAGCTGGCCAGGCGGGCGGTCCTCTGGTTTCTGCGTGCTTCCCCATTCTCTCTCTGGTTCTGCCTGACTGAGCCTCCACCGTGCATCTTCCTGCATCTCAGGACCTTCCTGCTCAGGTCACTAGCCTGTCTTCTGCGTGGACGCCTGGGAGAGCTTCTCCAGTACCATTCCACATATACTCCTCTGACCCCAGCGAGAACCATCAGGACAAAGACCCCGCCGGCCCTCCAGCCTGGCCCACTGCCCTCCTTCCTGTTTCCTGACTGCTCCCTGCTTCCTTCTGCCCTCGGCCTTTGCCCATGCTCTTCCCTCTGCCTGGCCTGCCCTTTCCTCCCTTTTGTCTCATCGACTCCTCTTCAATGTCTGGTTCTCAGCTCAAGGTCACTTCCTCACCTCATCACTCCAGTCACTTTCTTTCTTACTGCTCTCATTCATTTGCAAGTATTTACTGAGCACCAGCTTTGTTCCTGGCACTGGTCTAGCTGCTGGGGACACCACAGGGGATGGACAGACCAGGTCCTTGCCCCTGGGCAGTTTACATTCTAGAGGGAGACATGATAAACACAACAACTAAAATGTGTGCTGTGTCACATTTGACGCAAGCTAAGGAGCAAAACAAGCCAGGGCAGGGGTGGGAAAGACCAGGGCAAAAGTCAGGGAGAGCCTCATGGGAAAGGTGAGATTTGAGCAAAGGCTAGAAGCACTGAGGAAGGGAGCCATGTGGAGCCTGGGGAAGAGTACCCCAAGGCAGAGGGGCAGCAGGTACAAAGGCCCTGAGGCAGGAGCATGCCTGGGGTGCTGGAGAAATAGCAAGGAACCCACTGTGATGAGCATGGAGTGAATGAGGGCATAGGAGATGAGGTCAAAGAGGCAGCAGGGGATGCCTGAAGGACAGATGGAGAGAGAACAGTAAAAGGAGCCCCATGCACCCGACTCCCAGCAAGCACCCAACCCACAGCATGCACCTGACCCACAGCATGCCCCTGACCTCCAGTGTGCACCCAACCCCCAGCATACACCCAACCCCTAGCATGCACCCGACCGCCAGCATCAACAACCCCAGCTTGTGGTCCAAGTCCTCTACCTCGTTTTCTCTTCTCAGGTCCCCACAACTGGAAGGGTTTAAGGAAAACCCTAGACAACATGTTATTCCACACACATGACTGTGTATCTCGAATCAATAGGGACTTCTAAAAAAACATAACCATGGTACCATTATCACCCTGAGCAAAATAAACAATTGCTCAATGCTGTCTAATACCCTGCCTGATTCTGATTTCTCAAATTGTTTTAAAAACATTTTCCAGCCAGGCTGTGGGGGAAATTCTGGGAGCTGCGACCACAGGAGCGGGAGCCACCTTCAGAGCCACCATTGGTGGATGCTGGTATCAGCCTCGTGCCCATGTGACACTTGACAACACAGCCACCTCCTCCTCCAGAGCCTAAGCTTCAAGGGAGTCGGGGGCTTGCCTCTTTCTGCCCACGTGGCCACCAACCTCAGCTCCTGGCCAGGGAAGGGATTAAGTTAGCATGTAGTGGAAAGATGAATGAGTGAATGAATGAATAAGTGAATGAATGACTGATTGCCAAGGCCATTTCATGGTTCTCCAGCAGTAGAGAGAAGCACATAGGTTCAGCGGCTCCACGTCCCCACTGTCAGCCTTCCTGCCCCTCATGCTGTGGTTGGGGTCACCTGATTGCCTCACCCCAGGTCACAGGCCACAGTTCCCACTAACCTACACTCTGGGCCAGGCCTTCTCAAGGCAACCCCTGCCCCGCAGTCAACCTAGCAGCCTGCAGGGAGGTCACTTATGAGAGAGAGGCATCCAGAATGCATCTAGGAGAGGCTGCACTGTGTGGGGCTCGACTATTCCACCTCTACATGGGTTTGCTACTTTAAATGCCGCAGTTTACGGGGGAGTAAAGCTGAGGCCTGGCCCCCGGCCCCCTGTGCCAGTGTGCAGTGGGTCCATCTGCTAGCCATCACCGTATGGGCTCCCTTCATGTTTGAGGGTGTGTGTGTGTGAGCTTGTGTGCCAGGAAGTATGTGGGCAGGACTGTGTGTGAAGGGCTATCTATGCATATGTTGTGTAGGGATGGACAGCATGAGAAGCACCTGTGTGTGAGCGTGTGGGTCATGCATACGTGTGAGAGAGTGTGTGTGTGCACAGGTGTGAGGGTGTGCTTTGAGTGTGCTGATGAGTGTGAAGGTGTGAGCCTGTGGGGGGTTGCATGGGGCTGTGCCTGGGGAGGTTGTGTGTGTGTAAGCACATGGTGAGGGGTGGCTGTGTGCAGGTCGCACAGGTTACTTGGGGTGGGGGGTAGGAGCCTAGAAAGGGATGAGTCTGGGGTGAGGGACTGTATGTCCACAGTTCTTGGGGTCCTACAATACTGCAAAGTTGGGCAGAGACCAGTTCGTGGAGGGCCTTGAAAGCCAGGCAGAGGAATCTGGGCTTTAACGTCAGGAGCCGTAGAGAGCATTTGAGCAGTTGTAACCTGGCAAACACTGAGTTTCAGAAGGCCCCCTATGTAGACCAGGAAAATTCTCTCTGGTTTGAGTGGAAACCTCTCTTCCTGCACCTCCCAGGCTGCATTCCAGGGGGCCTGTCCTATGGGGTGCATCTTTTCCCTGCCATCCCCTCCATGTCAGGCAGGAATATTTGCTTGAAGTCAGTGCATCCAGAATGACTTAAAGAATGCACCAAAAAGAAAATACCTCAAATGTTTACAGAAAAAAAAAAGCGTTTTTTTCTGCTCTTTCATCTGAGTTGCCCAGAGGTATACAGCTGCAGCTGGCTGAAATGCAGCTTTCTGCTAAGATGGATCGACATGGGGAGGGAGAGGAGGAGCAGGAGGAGGAGGAGCAGGAGGAGACTGAGAAGGAGGAGGAGGAGCAGGAGAAAGAGTAGGAGGAGCCTGAGGAGGAGGAGGAGGAGGAGGAAGAGCAGGAGAAGCTTGAGAAGAAGGAGGAGCTTGAGAAGGAGGAGGAGCCTGTGAAGGAGGAAGAGTTGGAGGAGTCTGTGGAGGATGAGGAGCAGAAGGAGGAAGAACAGGAGAATCTTGGGAAGAAGGAGAAGTCTGTGGAGGAGGAGGAGCCTGCAGAGGAAGAGGAGGAGCAGGAGGAGGGGAGCAAGAGAAGGAGGAGGGAGAGAAGGAGGAGCAGGAAGAGCTTGAGAAGGAGAAGGAGGAGCAGGAGGAAGAGCAGGAGGATCCTGAGGAGGAGGGGGAGCAGAAGGAGCCTGAGGAGGAGGAAGAGGAGGAGGAGGAGGAGGAACATCATCAGGAGCAGGAGAAGCAGGAGCAGGAACAGGAGGGGAGCAAGTAGCAGCAGCTCTGGATGGAAGCCTGTAACACCTATTCTGGTGTGGATATCCACACTCATTGTCTCCCGGGGTGGGGGGTCCAAGGCTGCCTACCCACTGACCTCCACATTGTCTTCATTCAGTGCCTTGGAAAGGGTCCCTGGTTTGGACATTAGCTAGCAGGATGGGTCCTGGGCAGGACTCTGGGGAGATACACCTATAAGGCAGTGGGGAAGGCAGCCCTGGGCATTGAGAGAAGTTGGCCAGTGATGCAGCAGCCACAGGGACTTATGCTGGTCCCATGAGAAACCTGGAGCTGGGTTAGCCCCGTGGAGGCAGGGAGATAGGCCTTTGTACCCAGCACCAACCAGTCTTTGGCTGGAGGACTGCCCAGGGAGAGGGAGTGGCCTTGGGTGAGACAGCTCCCATCAGGGGAGGGCAGTGCCTAGGAAGGAACTCAGCTGCTAGCGATCCACAGCAACACTCCCAGCAGCTGCAGAGGGAGTGTCTGGTCCTGAAGGACAGATCCTGGTGGCATACGACAGTGTCCACTATACAATCCAACCCAGGTGACCATTGCTGAGGGGGCAAGGCCATCCTAGCCCACCCACCTTCCTTCTGTTCTGCCGCATCACAGCTCTAGAGCCAGACTGCTGGATTCCAAAACCAGTTCCACGCTTCCTGACCATGTGATTGTGGCCAGCACTGCCATCCCTTGGCTCCCCAGTCTGCTTATCTGTGAAATGGGCTGATGATGGTCAACCTTCCTCATAAGGTTTCTGTGTGCATTCGTGTCAGGCACTGGATACCACAGCTACCTCGGAAGCAGTGGCTTTTATTAGAGGTGGGCATGGATCCTGCCCTTGTGCCACTTCCTATGTGTATGCTGAGAGGTTCAGGCATACACATAGGAAGAAATGACACTGAGAAGTTGGGGCTTGAGGCCAGCATTGAGCCCTAGGCTGAGAAACTGTCCTCACTCTGATCCTGACACCAACACCAACATTGCCTGCAGAGCCTTGAACAATAGCACAATCCTACATAATCACAGCGGTGATTACGAGTGCCTCCTTCCCTGGAACTCCATCTTCAGTCATTTAACCCAGATGCTGCACCACCAGGCATGTTCCATGGAGCCCATGTCATGAGGAGACAAAGCTGGGGCTCAAGGAGGGACTCACCCAGTGTGTCCGCCAGAGTCTGGGAGATGGCGTAGTCAGGGGTAACAGAGGAACGTTTAGGTAAAGGATGACTACAGAGATGTGGGCAGGATTTAGGGAATCCTGAAAAGGCCTTAGGGCTGGCAACCTTGGGGAGCTCTGACTGCCCTGGAGGGCAGTGTTAGTGGAGAAAGCGTGGCTTGGGGAAAGGGACCTCCTGGCAGGTGCTGTGGTTCTAAGTAGACAGTCACAGCCGCCATGTGGTCCATGGACAGGGAGTCCGGGGTGTAAAAGTCCAGCTTGTATTTTCTCCTGCCCTCCAGTCCCTGTGGGATCCCCCACTGGGAAGTTGGAGGGCAAGGAGGGACACAGCTCAGCCTTCCGGGGCAGAGCAGGGGTGAGCAGCAGCCAGGGACACCTTCTACCACACACAGAGGATGATGGACCCGTGTTTCACTTGGTTGGTGCAGGGCGGTGCTTGGAGACAAGAAACATGAACAGATGCGGCATGGGGCACAGGAAAGGAAGCCAGTGGAACTTGGTGACCATCTCCTGCCTCAAGTCTCTGGATCTGACATGCCTTTCTGTGAAAACTAAGCCATCAGTCCCCCAGCCTGAGAGCGAGGGGCCTCCACACCCAGCGAAGCTCCTACCTGCTTTCTGTGCATCTTTTTGACCAGGGCCCACCTTTACCACGTGATCCAGCTGGCTTGGATCTTTCTGGAGAAGGTTCAGGAACGAGCCTCCTGCTGGGGGGAGGGTGGCTGGGGTCTGAGCATGGGAGACAGCAGTACCAGCAGTGTGGATGGGAGAAGACACTGCGGGGACCAGGAGCACATCATGTGAGGGGAGAACAAAGGCAGCCGTTGCAGGGGCTGCTTAAAGATACCCTGGGGTTGCCATGCCAGGCGGCAGCAGCACAGACATGCTTCTGGTGCTGCGAGGGTGTTTGCAATGAGACAGGGGTTCTGGGGTGAGTTGACCTGGGTGTGGGAGAAGGCAGGAGAAAGGACGAAGGGCTGGGGCTTCAACAGCAGGGCTCCCAGGAACTCCAAATGACCTCTGGGGGAAATGGTCACTTCCTTGCATCTATGCAGCTGCTGCACTGCACAGAAATGGATTTTCACCCCAGGGACATCTGGGAGAGTGTGGACAACCTCAGCCAACCTGCTTCTCTCCTCCCCCTCCCCTCCTCGTCTCCCTGTGTCCCCATCTTTTCTCTCCGAGATCCCCCTGTGGTGCCTTCATTGGTAGGGAAAACTGAGACTCAGAGAAGGAAAGGGACTTGCCTGCAGACACACAGCAGTGTACAGACAGAAGCAGGACCTCCATCTGACGGCTCCTTCCGCCCCACAGCGCCGTTCTCCCTGCCCTGCCCTTCCAGCCCTGTGCGTGCTCATCCCAGCATCCGCTGCTCAAAATGAGAAAAGTTCCCACAGGCTGGGTGCCAGTTCTGTGAGATACATGGTGCCAGGTCGCAAAAAGCCTTCTCCTATTTAATCCCCACTGTTCCCTTTGAGAGGACTTGTTCCTACTTTACAACGAGGGACAAATCTCTTAGGATGCATTAGGTTGCAAGTAACAGAATGCCTTACTGTTACCAAAAGTGGTATTGATGGTAGGAGTTTGTTTTTTTCCTGCAAAATAAAAATCTGGATGTGGTTTCTTTCAGAGGCTCAATAGTCTTCTCTTGGGCCCCAGCTCTTTTCACCCTTCCATTCTGCCGTTGTCACTTTGTCAGCCTCTTAGGCCTCGCCTAATGGCCACAAGATGGCTGCCTAAGCTCCAGGAATCACACTTTTACATCACAGCATCCAAAGATAGAAAGGGAGAAGTTGCTCTTCCGGGTCTCTGTTTTTTTCAGGCGATGTGCTGTGTTTTCGGCCTCCGTGGTCAGAGGTAGGCCAGCAGCAATGAGGAAATGGAGAGCCAGAGAGTGTGCCATGTTCTCTTGGGCCATTTCTGCCATCACCAGCATGTGGTGGCAGGGGCGGGATTTGAATTGAACTTCTTGGGTGACCTGACTCTGCCACAGTGCCCACCCTTCTGCTTCAGGCTGCCTTTGGCCACATCATGCTTTCCTGAAGACTGGTTCTGATTGCCCAGGTCACCGCTCATAACCTGAGGTATAAGTAATCCATAACCGACCACTCCCTTCAGAGGAGCCAGGCTGGCCAACCTCAGAGGGGTTCTAGAGGGGAGGAAGCAGCAGATACTCAGCGAACCCAGAGTCTTGAGCTCCAACCCTCGAGGTTCTGGCCTTCCAAAGACCTTTTTAGGCAAACCAGTCCTTGGCTCCCCAGACCTGCGCCATGCCATGTGTGGCTTGAAACCCATCAACTAGGGGCTGGCTATCTGATTTACACAAGGCACCTCCACCACCCAGATGAAAGGATTTCTATTCCAGTTATTCCATTTAAGCTGTAATGGATAGAAACCCAACTAAAGCTTGCTTAAGAGCAAAGGGTATTCATTAGTTCCTGGAACACAGTGGTCTTGGGTTAATGAATTCAGGTCTGGCTTGATCCAGGGTGCAAATGATATTCCCAGGACCCAGCCACAGGCACGCCTTCCTTGCCACCTCTCTATTTCTCAGCTCTGCTTTCCTAGTTGATGCTATTCTCTGCCCCATGTGGTTGTACGATGCCTGTCCACAGCTCTGGCCCCTGCATTCCCTCCTGTTCATATCTGGTGGGAGATAACCAGCAGCTCTTGTCTTCTGTGTGTGCAGAATCCCCAGGACTCACTTCAGTTTGGCCCTGACTGGTCTGAGTCACCCATCCTTAGCAATGACCAGTGGGTTACTTTGGTTTAGGGGCTAGGGAAGGCCTCACGGAGGAGTCACTGTTTGCAAAGCTCCGAGGCCCCACTGGTCTTGCTAGAAAACAAGGCACCAAGATAAAGACGTCAGGTGCTGGGGTCGGGTGGGGCTGGGACAGGCCGCTCTGCGGAGGAGGTGGCACTGTGGAGGGCTGTAGAGGGTTGGGTGGGGCTGGGCCTGCGGAGATGAATGGGGACACATTCCTGGAGTAGGGCAGTGCAGGATCGATCCTGGAGTGCCTAGTGCTTTAGGGTGCCTGCCATGGGTGCTGGGGGCAGGGATGACAGTGAGCAGTGTGTTCAACGCGGGGAAGCCTTTGGTTTTTAAAATTGGATGCCCCTCAGAATGCTCTGGAGGGTGGCGGACACTTCCGGTCATAGGAACACCATGTGGCATGGACCCTATGGGAGCCACAGGTTGCTGTCTGACCTCCCCTCCCAAGAATCCTTCCTTCTTCCAGGAAGTTCACCCCCAGGTCCCCTGGGCAGCCCGAGTGTCTGGGACAGGACCAGAAGTGCCAAATTTGATAGTATCTATTTGGCATTATGAATCAAGGAATTTTCTGGAGCCAAGTTTCTCCCCAGTCCCCTCCCAGGCCTGAGAACCCCACCCTGAGTAATTCCGGGCTCTGGGCAGCACCTGGTACATTGTTGGCACTTCCTGGGGGACCTGTCAAAAAGAGATTGATTTTTCTCCCTCCAGTGGTGCAGAAAATCCTTCCTGCTGTTCCAGACAGGTTTGGGGCATGGCTGGGAGGCAGAGAAGGCTCTGATTTGCAGCCCCACCCAACCTGGTGCAGGAGTCCCCTTTACAGACCTCAGCTGCTGCTTACACACATTCCAGGACAGGGAGCTCACTACCTCACCGGCAATCCTCTTGAGCCCTGGTGAGACTTGTTGGGGAGGTTGGCCTCTCACTGAGCAGGAATCTACTGCTCTGTGACTCCCGCCATCAACTGGGGTCCCAGCTCTGCCCTCTGGATACACAGTCCTTCCTGCTCACTCTGTCCTGGGTCAGGCCTGCAGACCCTGTGGAGTAGTGACTAGGGATCCCAGAAACTACTTTCTCCAGGCTGAGCAGCTCCAGCTCATTCACTGTGGGTCCTCCAGCCCTCTCCTCTAGACATGCTCTGTTTCTTTCCATCTGCTGAGGCATAGTCCAGTTCTGAAAACTGTATACCAAGACCATCCCCTCCTTTATGGTGGGCATTAGGCCTTAGTTAATATGGCCCCCGAAATGTTGGCTTTTCAGTAGCCTCTTAGTTTATATTGAACTTGTGGTCAATTTCAATCTTTCTCAGTCTCTCCCATACTGTGATTTTGCAGTCAATTTTTTAGGTATCAAAAATTGTAGATGTTCAGCCTTCTGGCTGGTTTCAGCCACTTGTTTTATTCTGTGGAAGGGACTGAAGTCTGCCTGGCACTTCACTCACATTATCCTCTCTAGATGCCCGAGCTAACTGGAGTCAGATTTCAGTAGCACCAAAAGACCCTTCTACTCCCCAGATGCCCCTCTTTCTGGCCACTCACCGTGCCTGAAATGTCCTCATTATGTGCTCAACATGTGCTCTTCCTTAAGCCTGCTCCCTCTTCCAGTTCTCTGTCTCTGTTTCCCAATCTGAAATGCCTTTTCCCCCTCTCCCTGAGTTTGGCCAATTCTAATTTATCCCTCCTATTATCTGACTTCAGTTCAGCCCTGGCCTTCTTGGGGGACTTCCTTGAGATGCACACAGGAGCAGCTCCCACGGGTTCAAGTTTCCTTCTCTGTCACTTTCACTCCTTCATAGCACTTACCAGTGTATGATTAGACTCGGGGGAATTATTAATTCCACAGCTACTTCTGGTTTGGAATCACAAGCTCAAAGGTGGCAAGGATTGCAAACTCAGGGAAGGTGGGGACCAGAAGCTCAGAGAAAACCGGAGCAGAACCTGCTTGTGTCATAGTCTTCCTGGAAACTCCCCAGCAGGGGTGACGCCAAATAGCACAGAGTAGGTCCTCATTGTAAAACAGGTGCATGAGTGAATGCATACATGGACAGACACGCCCTAGGTCTCGTTCCCCTTGCAAACATGAGGCAGCACCGTTTGCATGCGAGGCTCTTCATCAAAGGCTGGGGATTTCAAGGTGAATGACCTGGCCTGGGGCCTGAGGAGTGTGGCCAGTGAGGTTCTCTGGAAGCGGAGGCTGAGATGGAGTTTCAGGTCCCAGCTATTTATTGGGAATCTGCATAAAGGGGAAGAGGAGGAGCAGGGTTGCGCAGATGGAGGACTCACACTTGGATGCTGGCCCAGCAAAGCCTTGATGGGGAGTGCTGGACTTGGTCCTGCCCATTACGTTGGACTGCCTCCGGCTAAAATGGCCAGACCTTTATACCCCTGCCTCTCTTGGTCCCCAGATGCAGGGCCCACACCCTGAAGGATCTGACAGCTGGAGGCTGTGCGCTAATCACACTCCCAGGCCAGCGGTGTGTTGGCACCCACTCCCGTGGGCTGGAAGACCCACTACTAAATATTCAGGAATTTGTCAGTTGTTAAACTGTTGGTAGCTTAAAGTCAGCCGTGGTGGGAACATTTAATTTATTCCTCAGAAATTGGGAAACACCATATAACAGGGCTTTTTGTTGTTGTTTTTTTTTCTTTTGAGAGCCAGTTTGAGCAACATACCACTACTTGTAGCTATGAAGCAAGTCCTCCCTTGGAGGGCAATTGCCTGGGGAATGCTGACATATAGGCAGATCATCACAGTGCTAAGGAGACAAGGACTCTAACAGTACAGGCCAGCCATGGAAACCATGAGGGAGGTACTGTCTATCCTGACAATCAGGGAAGGCTTTGTGAGGAGGTGACTTTTTTCCTGACATGGCAGAATAATCAAACACTACAAAAGATAATCCCATGAAAAGTAAGACTCCCGTTTGTCCACCTGGTCCCCTGGCACTGGTGTCCTCCACAGAGACAGCTGCTCTTACCAATTCCCCTCATATAATTCCAGAAATACCCTGTGCTCTTACAAGCATAAGTGTATGAGTCTTGTTTCTCATACAAACAAGCTCCCGTGCTGCAAGCCTTTCTGTACCTTGCTTTGCTCTCTTCACCATGGACCTTGCAGTGTCCTTGGTTAGTGAGTAAGAGCCATCTCATTCTCTTTAGCAGCTATAGGGCTATCCAGCTCATAGGTGTGCCGTAATTTACATAACCAGTCCCCATTGGTGGATCTTCAGATTCTTTTGGCCTTTGGATATTTCAGATAAGGTCTCTGTGAGGCTCTTTGACATTTTGCACAAGCACAAGCCTGCCCTCAGGGTACATATTCAGTAGTGGAATCATTGGGCCATCGTCTGTAATGGTGATAAAGATTGGCCTTCCAGATAAGGAACAGCAGGTGCAGGGCCGAGAGGCATGGAAGGGGTGAGGTTGCTCAAGCGGAGGCAGCTGCTGTGGAGACAGCATGGGCCTGGAGGCCAGGAGGGTGGGGCTCAGCTTGGCCCTGCCACAGAGGAGCCAGGTGTATCCACTGTGGTCATGGCTGGATGCCACAGGCACATTCAGACTGAGAAATTAAGGAGAGTTTAGAAAGAGACCACTGTCCAATGACCGATGGATGCGTGGACAAAATGTGGACAAAAGGCATACCTGTACCATGGAATGTTATTCAGCCATGAAAAGGAAAAGAATTCTAACACATGCTACAACATGCACAGACCCTGAACACTTTATGCTCAGGGAAGGAACCTGGAGACAGAAAATGCCACATACTCTGTGATTCCATTTATAGAATAGATCTGTCTAGAACAGACAGATCTACAAAGACAGCAGGTAGATTAGTGGCTGCCTGAGACTGGGAAA